ATATATATATATATATATATATATATATATATATATATATATATATATATATATATATATATATATATATATATATATATATATATATATATATATATATATATATATATATATATTGATGATCTCACAAGGCGATCGATTTAAATCTTAAAACAGATTTGAAAAACGGCTTTTAGAGCTCCGAAGAGCAGCCAGCCTTTTCGCCCGGCGGGCGCTCTTCGCATACATACACCCTCCGCCCGCACATCCTGCCTGGCTCACCGCAGCCGCACCCTCGCATCCCCGCGGCCTCTCTCTCGCGCGCGCACGAGGGGGGGGGAGCTCCATCCACACGACGCGAAAGGGGAGCAGAGTTCCCGAGGCGACCGGAGCCTCGGCGGACCCAGACCTGGAAGAAAAGACGAGACGCTGGGCTGGCCCTGAGCGGCCGGAGGGGGGGGGGAAGACTTCAAGAAGTCCCCACAACTCGCCGCGGGCCGCGCTTCCCCCCCCCTTTTGGCTTGGACTGCGAAAGTCCAGAAGTGTGTGTGTGTGTCTGTGTGTCTGTGTGCGTGTGTATGGGGGGGGGGGAGGGAAATGCCCCGACGTGCTTCTCTCCCCAGCGCAGAGGAGAGCGCCTCCCGCCTCCCCTCCGCCCAGGCGGGCAAAGCCTTAGGGGCGTTTCTTTCGGCCTTTGGGCCGCCCCCTCGTGCTCGTCCCTTAGGCCCGGGCGGAGTGGGCGGCGCTGGTGCTCGATCCTCAGCCAGGACGCCGAGCTAACTGCGTGAGCCCTGCCCGCCTGTCGCCCAGCCAGCCCAGCCAGGCAGCGAACGAGCAAGCCAGCGGCCGCGGGACGGAGTTGGGAGTTTTGTCAAGTGGCGTCTGGCGCTCCACGGGGGAGGCTGCTGGCCAGACGACGAAGCCGCCCGCCCGGCTCAAGAAAGCTCGCTCTTTCTCCCCCACCCCCCGCTCCTCCGCCGCCTCCCTCGCCATGGCCGAGGCGCCTCACCCCGTGGAGACCGACCCTGATTTCCAGCCGCTGGCCCGCCCGAGGTCCTGCACTTGGCCTCTACCCCGTCCGGAGCTCGCCCCGTCCAGTCCGGGACAGACGCCCACCGCAACTCCGGCGAGGGCCGCGTCCCCGTCCCGCTGCGGGCGGGTTACGGCCCTCGGCGCCTCCTCTGCCGGCGCTGACCTGCTGAGCTTGCTGGAAGCGGGCGGAGGCGACGGCTTCGAGGCGGGCGCGGGCAGCTCCGGAGCGGCAGACCTCGGCGTTTCGGGCGGCTGCCTTTGCGGGGAGTTCCCGTGCCTCCAGCACCCCCAGCCGCCGCAGCATGCCGGGCCCGCCGCCTTGGCCTCGGTGACGGGCCCTCGCAAGAGCAGCTCTTCCCGCCGCAACGCTTGGGGCAACTTGTCCTACGCGGACCTCATCACGAAGGCGATCGAAAGCGCCCCGGAGAAGCGGCTCACTCTCTCCCAGATCTACGAGTGGATGGTCAAGAACGTGCCGTACTTCAAGGACAAGGGGGACAGCAACAGCTCCGCCGGGTGGAAGGTTAGCAGGCCTTGGGGGTGGGTGGGTGGGTGGGGGGTGGCATTGCCCCTCGCCCGTCCAACTCTAGCCAACTTTGCTTTGGCGTGTAGGAAGTGCGGAAAGGCTACAAACTCTGCCTCGCCGAGAGGTAACGTGAGGCCGGCAGAGGAGAGGAAAGGAGAGGAGGAGGGAAGTGGAAAGAGCCGCGCAACAGCTGCCCAAGAGCCTTGTCGTTTCCTCCGCTTCCTGCCCTCCCGAATCTGCAGAGAGCCGGCGGGATAATCTCTAGTTCAGCGTTTCTCAACCTTGACAATTTTAAGGCATGTGGACTTCAACTCCCAGAATTCCACAGCCAGCATTGCTGGCTGTGGAATTCTGGGAGTTGAAGTCCACATGCCTTAAAATTGTCAAGGTTGAGAAACACTGCCTAGTTGGCTCGTATGCATCGGTCGCCTTTTCCCTTCCTATTGATTCTGGGGGTGTCTAGGGGTGTGGGGTATTCGTGGACTTTTCGTTTTCCCTCTTTCTTCTTGGTGTTGGCAAAGGAGGAGCCGCTCGGGCAGGGCTAGGTTGAAGAAGGGTCCCCAGATCCTTCGGTCTTTTTTCCTGTCTTTGTCCCAGTTGCTATACATAACTCGCTAGACAGCTGGTTTCAAGCACAGCTGTGTCATTTCCTCTGGTATTTTTTTGGAGAGGCCCTTTCGCGATCCAGGCACTTGAGCAGTTTTTGCTTGACTTAACGGCAGCCTTTCCGAACTTGATGCTCTTTGAGTCTTTCACGCTCCCACATGATAGTCCAACACATCTGGAGGGCCTCGCATTGGCTAAGGTTGGATTGAGGAATAACTGGAGATTACAGGTTTAGCTGTATTGCAAAGTTGACTTCTTTCTCGATATTTGCTTCCACATTGTACCAAGGCAGATTTTTCTTCCTGCTCTGAAATCTACCTGAGTTCATAGCCATGGTCAGTTAATCCACGTTAAGCATCTATATCTGATGGCTTTGAGAAAGTACAAACTAGGAGAAACAAATACTGTAGAACAGTAAACTGTATATTGTTGAGTACTGTATACTCAACAGTATAGGGTTGGGGTTTTTTTAGAAAGGTACTGCTACACTCATACTTTATTGATGTATCTTGGTGCAGATGTTACCTAATGGAGGGAAATGATTAATTGAGATGCTTGAGCTTTTGAGGGTTCTTTCCAATGGGCAAGATATTACAGCTTACTAATATTTGAGACTTTCTCTTGGGAATGGATATGTTTTGTTGGCTCCTGAATGGTCACTAGCTGTTTAAGTCCAATAATATAGTGTATGAATATTATCTCCACACTTTCCAAAGGAAAAAAATGGAGTTGAGCACTGACATTTTTTGGTAAAAGGAAAAGAACAAAATTATTAGTATAGCAAGGAGATATGGTGCTGATTCACAACAAATTCCCAGTGTTATAATGTGACAATTAGGGGAAAAAATGACAAATGCAGTGGCAATCTTCATCAATTAGCCTTTTGAAAAGTGTGCCCAATATTGCCAATCCCAGAAGGATATTATATGGAAATATATGAGCTGTGGAACTTCTTGGTAGCAGGTCATTTGAGAAAAGAAATAGTTTGTTGGCTTTCCCATTTCTGGGGGAAAAAAACTAGTTAGTTTTTATTTGTTTATTTGTTATTTGTCATTATTTGTTTAGCTAACATATTATTAAACAAAACATAATCCCCAGATTTAAAGTTTAGTTTCATATTAAATTAGCTTTAATTAATTCAATATTTGCAGTTCTAATAAATAGATCCTGTAAATACAATGAACAGGCTAATAGTTTTCAATTTCAGCAAGGAAAAATAGGAAACACACTTCAATAAAGTCATGGGCAATCCAGTAAAGTAACTGTTCAAATGTTTACGGATTGTTGAGATTAAATGTTCAGTAGGAAACTATTTCCAGTTTCCTTTTGTATGGACGTAATTTCAAATATAATTGCTCTCTCTTGTTTATGTAGACAGTCATAATTTGAGTATGTCACAAATACTGAACTTCTTTACAGAAATCTGGTATGTCTAATACCGTATGAAAGCAGGAAGTTCCTACCTTTAACAAGTTTAGACAAAAAATACTTTTCTCAGTGAAGGTAAACATTATTTTACCCAGGAAAATGTATGCTGATAAATATTTTTACATAGCATGGCTGTGTAAGGTTCTAGCTGCTGATGCCTACTGAATAAGGTCAACACAGAGTGAAAACACATGTACAATATTCAGTATTCAGTAAAATGCATCTATTGTGTCTTATTCTCAGTGTTTGAATTGCTTAAAAAGTCAATATAAATATTTGTGTGCAATTTTGTTTGAAGTGTTCCGCAATATTTGCATTATTTGGCAAGTACTTTTCCTTGAAATGCCATTTTTATACAATTCTCTAGAGAGTACATTTGATGGTATATGCATTTTTAAAAATTGGAAATCAGGGACTACTACATTCCAGTTTATACTGGGAAAGTTCAGCATAATTTGGTTCATATTAAATTCAGATCAAATGAATGTCTTCTTCCCAGACACAAATAATTGTCTTGCATTTGACTGATTCAAAACCAAATGGCACTTATACTTATTCCATTACATTTCTATTCAGCAATTTTTAGCATTCAAGTAAAATCTAGTTTTGATAAATCTTGGTAATATATGTACTTTGAAATAATTATACATGATAATAATAAAAAAAACCTGTCTTTCTTGAGTGCTGGTATAATGCTTGAGCCAGGCATTCCTGGCTGTCAATACTTTTTACCTCTTAAAAGATTAAAATGCTCCTACAATATAGTACATTCCCTAGTTTTAAAACTTAAATCATTGCAAAAATAACTGATCAGACTGCAGTTTGGCTTAGCAAAAGCTGCAGCTTTCGAAATTTTGTTCCATGTGGTATCTGTATCCCTTGAATCATATAATAATTACAGTAGTATGGATAAAATTAGAGAAACTGGATCTGGACTGTAAGAATCCTGATGACCACTAGATGGCAGGAAAGAGACACAGAAAACTCCACTTTGTTTACTCCCATCTAGTAATTGTCTTGGGGTTTGCAGGCCAGATCCGATGACCTTAGAAAAAAATAAGCAGCCTCTGTGTAAAATCTGCATATAGATCACAGCCTACTGCTCGCTCTGCTGCAGAAATGCTGTTTGAGTCATCTGAGATTTCTGTCAGTAAAAGCAGCTAGAAGTAGTTTTCAGTGATTTGCCCTCTTTTTTGCATTTCCAAACTGTTCTGGAGGCTTCAAAACAACATAGAAAATGGTATGATGAATTGTTCAGAGAAGAGGAATTGCCAAAGTGCTATCTTTTTTTTTTTCTGCTCACGGTGGCCTCTTGTACAAAGATGGATTTCAAATAGATAACAAATTGTGTTTAAAATTCTGTATTTCCTTCTGTGGTTTTGGTGATAATAACCTAATAAATCTAATCCTCAACTATCTCTGACAAAGGACAGTTTTGTGCTTTGAGCGCCAAGAAATTTGTGTGAATCAGTTTATTTGAGTCGTAAAAAATGAATTGTAACCTATCCAGGTTATATGTCAATAGCAATTTGTTCCATTTTTATAGAGGAACTGGCTTCGAAAGATGATTTGGTATGATAGGATTAAAAGGAGACTCCTAATATAAGGTGTGAGTCTTCGTCAGTGTTTCAGCACCGCAAACATCCTTGATGTAGCTATTCACACCTCTCAATGCCCTCTGTCTGAACTGATGGATTTATCAATTTGATTTTTGAATATAAGTTTTACTCAAAAAGTAAATCAAATAAGATAGATTTACTCATCCATATGTCAAAGTGATAATGTAGATTTCATTGTGCTCTATATTCATAAATCAGTACAGACGGTGTTGATGACAAACTACCTGTTACTGATGAAAATTATGTAAAATCTGTGTATTTGATTCAGCTTACTTGTTTCCTGGACTGAAAATTGAGGACAATATTATAACTATCAAAAATAGGAGCTTCAGCATATGCATGTGAATTAGATATTCCATATTAGAAAGGAATATACCAACAAAGCAGCAATTCTTCTCAGTTTTGTGAAGAGAGATCATCTGTTTCCTGAATATTTTTACTTTCTTGTTGCTTAAAGTACTGCAATTGTTGCTAATGAAAACTGTGACTCTCCCATGCTTAACTGTTCTTTAAGCTTTTGGGCAAAAGTTGGCAACTGGCTGTTTGGAGCTATAATTCCTGTAAAGTCAAGCCAGGATAGTCAGTGGTCAGGATAACCTGAAGTTTAGAAATATCCAGGAATTACAATTGTATCCTTTAGGGGTCATTTTAGTAATTTTGAAAAGTGAAAAAGTATAGTAGTTGCTCTGCTTCTGATGTATATGAATATGTCTCCACACCTCAGCAAAAAAGGATTAAATGATACGGTTCTACTTCTCTTCAGAGTGGACTTTTTAAAATGAGTTTTTAAAGGAGATAGGACTGTATAACAATATACCGTCACACAGAATATTTTGAAACAGTATACTAATTTTTGTTTGAAAACAACAAAAGAGTTTCATTGCACCCACTTTCTGAAATACTACGGTTGCCTCAAGAAGATAAAAAATTATCCTCATCTGGTTGTGACCACCTGTTCCAAGTTGTAGCACATGAACTAAAAAAGCCTCTTTTGTTTTCTGATCTTTTCATATTTTTAAATTATTTTGGTTGGGGTAAAGCTCTTTTGTATAGGCTGGGCAGGAGAGAAAAATCCTACTTCTTTTCCAAGTTTTTTTGCAACTTGGAGAACTTTGGTGAAAAAGAATATCAGTGGACAGTGGCATTATTGTGAAGCTCCGATGGGCCTTTCAAGTGAAGTGAGAAATGAATTCTGAATTACCTGCATGGGTCTGAGGCACAGACATAAGAAAGTATAAAACTGATAATTTCTTTGTCTGCAGCTCTGATTTCCTGGTTACATTTGACACTTTGATAATCTCTCATTAGAGTGGAAAAAATGACAGCCTCTTATAGGAAACAATA